GCCAAGCTGCTTTTGAACAGATCAAGGAATATTTATAGAACCCACCCGTGTTGTCACCGCCAGAGCCAGGGAGACTGTTGATATTGTACCTTTCGGTAACTGAGACCACAATGGGCTGCATGCTCGCGCAGGAATCAAAGGACAAAGTGGAGAGGGCCATCTACTATCTGAGCAAGAAGATGCTAGAGTATGAGACCCGCTACACACCATTGGAGAAGGCTTGCTTAGCCTTGGTATGGGCTACCAGAAAGCTGCAGCACTACCCGTTAGCTCACTCTGTAATGTTGGTTTCGAGATTAGATCGCATCATATATCTCTTCGAGAAACCAGCACTTACGGGTAGGCTAACTCATTGGTTGCTGTTGCTTTTCGAATTCGATCTGAAATATGTGACGCACAAGTCAGTCAAGGGAAGAGCAGTAGTAGATTTCTTAGCCGATCATCCAGTGGAAGGAGATGAAATAGTTAAGTATTTATTTACAGACGAGGCCATTTTGCATATCGACGACGAGTTTTAGACGATGTATTTTGACGGAGCGTCCAACCAGTACGGGTATGGGATAGGAGTGTTGCTGATAGCACCCGACAATTTTCGTATCCCTTTAGCCTTCAAACTCCGGTTCAAAGCCTCGAACAATGAAGCAAAATATGAGGCATGCATTGCCGGTCTAGAGGCAGCTCTGGAACTAGGGGCAAAACGGTTGGACGTCATCGGGGACTCGAATCTTGTTGTGTCTCAAGCAAAAAGGGACTGGAAAGTCAAAGAAGAAAAGATGATAATGTATCACCAAACCTTGGATCTGCTGATTCCTCGGTTGGAGAAGCTAAGCTTCACTCATCTACTAAGAGAAAACAACAGGTTTGTAGATTCACTAGCAACTCTATCTTCCATGATAGACATCCCGTTTGGAGTCTAGATGCGTCCAGTCATTATCGATCAGAAATTTGTGCCGGCTTACGAGTCAATTGCTGCTATAGATGAGGTTCAGGATGAGAACCCCTGGTATTACAATATTTGGAATTTCTTGGAAAATGAAGCATATCCACCAGGGTTAAATGCCAAAGATAAAAGGGCAATCAGAAGAATGGCCGTTCAGTTCATCATCTGTGGAGGTAAATTGTATAAGAGAGGTCATCTGGGAATGCATAAGTTGTGCGTTGAAGCTGAAGAATCAAAACGCCTGATGGAGGCCATCCATGGAGGGGAATGCAGTGCGTATATGAACGGGGTAATGCTGGCTCGGAAAATCCTCAGATAGGGTTCCTACTGGTCCACCATGGAGGAGGATTGTATCGGCTTTGTTCGGCGATGCCATAAATGTCAGATCCATGCAAACCGCATGAACATCCTGCCGTCGAAGTTGTACAATATGACTTCGCCATGGCCATTTTCAGTTTGGGGAATTGATGTGATCGGGGCTGTTACCCCGAAGGGGTCTAATGGACATGAGTTCATCCTGGTCGCGATAGATTATTTCACGAAGTGGGTTGAGGCCCAATCCTATACGGTGTTGAAAGCGTCACATGTTGCAAAATTCATCAGAATCAACATCATCTGTCGTTATAGGATCCCAAACGAGGTCATTTCAGATAATGGTTCCCACTTCAAAAAGGAAGTGATTGACTTGTTGGAGAAATACAACGTGGCTTTTCATAAGTCATCTACATATCGGCCGCAAACCAATGGAGCGGTCGAGGCCGCCAACAAGAATATCAAACACATATTGCAGAAGATGATGGAAACCTACTGGGATTGGCCAAACAAGCTGCTATTTGCTCTGTGGGGGTACCGGACTTCAATTAGAACTTCTACTGGGGCGACTTCGTATTCATTAGTTTATGGGATGGAAGCCGTTCTACCTATTGAAATTGAGGTTCCGTCTTTGTGAGTGCTGGCTAAGTGTCAGAGAGCCGAAGCAGATTGGCAACAGAGCAGATTTGAAGAACTCATGCTTTTTGACGAGCGCAGACTGAAAGCACTGTACCATGTTCAAGGTTATCAACGCAGAATTGCCAGGGCTTTTAACAAGAAATTTAAGTCCAGGAATCTAAAAGAAGGAGATTTGGTGCTCAAGGACAACCGAGCTCCCATCCACGATCGTAGGGGCAAGTTCAGACCCAATTGGACTGGTCCCTACATCATTAAATCTATCTGGTCGGGTGGAGCTGTGGTTCTAATGGACCTAGATGGCCTAGAGTTCTCATAACCGATCAACGTGGACAAGTTGAAGAAATATTACCCCTGAGAGGCTCGCTAGGCCGAAAACTCAAAAGGGCGACCTAGGCAAAAGCCAGAGCATAAAAAATTTGAAATTATAAAAACTGAGCTCGCAAGGTTGAAAATCCGCAAAGGGTGGCCTTGGCAAAAGTTAGAGTGTAAAAGGAGAGTGAAAATATTCGAGTGGACCTAAGCCGGAACTACGTAAGGCTTGATTCCCATCTTTGGGATACGTAGGCAACTTCATCCTAAAGTTCAGCCATAAACTTTTCCCCGATCAACTTTGTCCATTTGATCATCTCGACCATCTTTGTCTATTCAGCATTCAAGAGGTTGGTTATGATCTCCGGTGCAATGCTCTTCAAACTAGGGGCAACTTTCCGTTGCTACGCAGTGCTGCGGTACTATTTAGACAAGGGGCAACTTTCCAGTTGCTGGGATCCGGGGTTGTGCATCTCAGTGAAAGATTTCAGGCATGCCCAGTTCTGATCCATATCAAAAATGGTTTTGAAAAGTTTTAATAAAAGTTGACTTTGTTCAAAATTAATCTTTTTACAACTTAGACCATTTTTGGACCAAAGCGGAAAATTTTCAGTACCCACAACCTTCAATTTCATTGATTTCAATATAGAGCTCTCCTGCTCTTGCATACAAATTGAAGTTACTTTTTATTACAGTTATAAAGAAAACTTGAAAGTACGAATAAAGCAATAAATCCGGGACATAGCTAAGTCAGGTGTTCCTGCGCCTCTTCTCAGAGCTGGTCGAAGCCTCTGATGCCAAAGTAGGCCCTTCCTGTGCCTCTTCATTGAGCCAATCCAAGCACTCATCAGACAAAGTGCATTTGAAAGTGGGAGCAGGGGCCAAGAGCTCTCTAGTCCTCCATGCTATGGCATACCGGGCAAGCTGTGCGCCTCGAACGGGGAATGCAGCAGGATACTCTATCCCCTCTGGTGGGCAAGTTCGATCATGTCCGAATTGGCGCTGAAACCGGAACGGAAAATAGAAGACACAGTGTGTCATGCCAATCAATTGAATCCCAGGTTGACGGGTCATGTTGTAACTCATCGCCGGCAAATTGAGCCAAGGACAGCGCCAAGTGATGCGGTTTGCAGACAAATTGCACATCCAGCTATACCACCACCCCTCATCAAGAGCATCGACCAGGCGTTGTCAGAAAAAGTAGCCGCGAGCTGAGTATACGGGACAAGACTCCACAATCTATAATTTGTCCATCAACCACACCTGGGGAGGGATTGAAAAATGAGAGAATAAAGAATAGAGAGATGTACGATGAGAGAAAAGAAAGAAAACGGTTTTGTGAGAAAAATCGAGTCTGAGAGTCGAGTGACGTGAGCAATACATGTGTGAGATTGGGTGGGAAACATTACCTGCAATAGTAGTGGGCTCCCCGCAAGCCTAGCCGTCTCCCGGCGGTGAAAAGCGTCTAAACCCATCAATGTCTCAGCCAATGTCATAGCGATGCAGCTCTTGCCCTCCTTCAAACCTTGGGCAACCTCGATTAACTGGACACCAGATCCTCCAGAACCTGAGGCAAGTAAGAAATGAGATAGCAAGCATAGGCAAAGCGTGTGTTGCCGATAGCCCTGCCAATGATGGTCACCGCGGTCACCAGCATCAGAAAATCGACAAACCAAGCTCGGGATGTCCAACTCCCCATCATGAATCAATGATCGAGCATCATGCAAAGTGAGGCCGCACATTTGTCCTAAGGCTTGGACATGGTCGAATCGGAATTGAGGCAAGATTTCCTCGTTGCGTTCGAACTCCATCAAAACTTGGAAATCCTCGAAAGTAGGACACATCTCTTGCCCGCTAAAGCTAAAGACGTGTGTTACCGGATTCCAAAACCTCGCTACGGCCTACAAGAAAGGAAGATGCAGCGGAGTACGGCCCAGCGTGAATAGTGCGTTCAAGCCGAAGCCCCGAAAGTTTAACTTTTCCGAGCCGTCTAGAGAAGCGATCCAAACTGTAAGATTTTGGGTGAAGAACGCCTCCATTTTGATGCAAAACTAAGATGAAATGAGAGAGCCACGAGGCTGGAGCTTTTAAAGAGGATAAGGCACTGTTCGGGGGACACGTGTCAAAAATTGGTGGCTGCCAAGCTAGGTGGTCGGCCGGCCACCTTTTCTGGTAGGCCGGCCACCTTTTCTGGTAGGCCGACCACCCCTCTCCCCTCCAATGCAAAAAGGTGGTCGGCCAGCTCCCCTAGGTGGTCGGCCATAGAGAGGAAGGTGGCTTTAGTCTTGTTCTAGCTTCTAGAAGAAAGTTCCTAGCATTTCCATGCATTGGGAGTGAAGGTGCGAGTTTTCCTCTGTTTTGGATGCGTTCCGTCATCCAGATCATCCGAAATGCATTTGTTTATCGAGTTGTTGTTAAATCCTGCTTATCGAGTTGTTATTTTGCTTATTGAGTTGTTGTTTTGTTTATCGAGTTGTTTAGCTTATCAAGTTATTAAGTTTTGTCGAGCCGTTGAGTCTTGTATATCGAGTTGTTACTCTTATTTAATCAACATTGTTGTGTTTCTCTTATCGAGTTGTAAACTTGCTAAAGTTCTGTTCTTCTTAGTAAGTTTAAGTTGCTTTGTTTGTTGCGTCGGTTCACTACTTGACTTGGCAATTTTTAAGTGCACAATTCCATTCAATCTCATTTTGTGCAAAATGATGCGATGCGATGCAAGAACATAAAATGTAACACTTTTTGAACAAAAGTTGTTTCATTCCATCATTCTTCCTTTGTTACAGCATTTTACAACAAGGGTACAAGTTTTATAGAAAATAAAACTACCTAATAAATGTACAATGTGCTACAACTACTAGTAAAAAAGGCAAATAAAGTAGGAAACAGCTGCATCAATGCTATCAAGCACGGGAGTAAGCGGCTCTCTTTGTCCTCTTCTGTGGAACAGCCTCAGCACCATCATCGTCGTCTGAGTCAGAGCTGTCATCCTTGGGATCCTCCTCGGCCTCATCTCCACTGCCGGAACCGGAATCGGAACCACCCTCTCTGTCAGCAGATGTCTCTGACTGGGGATGCGCAGGCTCCTCCTCCTTGCTGGACCCCTCCTCTATGACATGCACTCTGCGTCCGGCTCGTCTGCGAGACGACTCCCCTCTCCCAGCTCCTTAGGAAGGCCCAGATGGCCCGGCCTGTGATTCGGTATGTAGCGGAGGCATCTGAAAAGAAAGAATGCAATACATCAGCCAAAGTATGTATATCAGATGCAGATGCAAGAAAACCACATGAAGTGGGTGCAAGCAGATACAGTGCGTGAATGTGGTGAGTGTCAGATGTGCTCTACACATACAATTAATCAATGTAGTAAGATGTACAAGTTCAACATGCCATCAGAAGTATGATAAATGCAAGAAAATTAAAGAGTACCTGAAAACCAAGGATGGACAATTGTGCCTTTCTCTGTAAAACCATGCCCTCGAGCGAGGCCACCAATCCGAGCATCCCGTCCATATACTCTCTGGGTGGCTGCAAATACAAGCTCAGATCATCAGTGACTGAATGAATGCCTAAGTATCTGGGTGATAAATGAAAAGCAGTGGAGCATACCGGTGGTGAGTCAGGGTCACTGACGTATCGGTGATCAGGCATAGGAGGCTCTATCGGAATCGGGTAGGAAGTCCCGTATCGCCATCCCGTCAACTCAGTAGGGATATCTGGCTATCCAGGGTGATGATAAGTCGGAGAAATCGGGGGGACCAGCCCAGCCCCACCTCACGATGTACCAGCTCTGCTAGTGGAAGGAGCACCTGCAGCCCGAGCTCGACTCGAAGATGGTATGTCAGCGGACCTCCTCGTAGGGGTATGAACGCCTGTCAATGGGGGCATCAAGTATGTGTGACGGTAGGTCACGTACTCCCCCTCCTCCAAATGTAGCAACACATCAGTACCCAGCACGGCACTAGTAACCTCCTGGGGAGTGAGCCTCCCGATAGTCCGCATGTCGACCGAAGGTACTGAGGGGACGTCCTGATTAGGGTAGCCCATCGTCTGGCGCATGAAGCGTTCCCCCAGGAACCAGGCCCTACCAACCGGCCCCTCAAACAGGATCCTATACCGAGAGGCAGCCCATCCTCCGGTAAGCTGAAATCGGAGATCCCCGCCTAAAGGCACCTAGGGCTGCCAGGTGATCTGCAAATAACCAATGCATAAGCCGATCAGAAATCGTAGATGTGCAAAATAAATCAAAGATGAAAACATGGAGGACGGAGAGTTCTGAATTACCTCTGTCGGCCGTACTATGTCAAAAAACTACCGTAGGTAGGGGAGAGTCTCCCCGGCCCGCAGTCGGTACTGGCCCTCGAAAACGAGCGAGTAGGGGGTCATGAGGGGCGCCTCCACCTCGAGCTCTGGGGCTAGCATCGGGAAGTACGCAAAAACCCATAACTGTGGAAAACAGGACAAAAGCCATTAGAATACAAAATGCTGAGTGCAGAATCCGAATACAGAATGCTGAATGTAAGTACAGAATGTAAAGTGTGCCGTGCGTGCAATGTACAGATAATGAAAAGCAGAAATGTAAGTCAAGAGGGCAGAAGGTACCTCCCAGGCTCTCCAGTAGCCGCTAACAATGTTTCCCCATCCGCGGGAGGTCGCGCTCATGTAGCAATAGAGGGTAGCCAAGTCGGCGCCACCCCAGTCATACTGACTGACATGTGAGAGGTCTACCAAGGCACTCAGCAAATACAGCCCAATGGTGTTCCCCCTATCGGCGAACAGAGTGGTCCCGAAGAGGAACATCAAAAATCCTCGGGTGTACTGTGCTATCTCCTCGGGAGTCTCGGGCTCCCTTTGTCTGAAATATGAAGAAAACCAGGTGTACCGGACTCGGCCCGAGGATCGGTCGACCGGTGGGCGAGCTCCCAATAGATAAATCCAGGCAGCCTCCCATTCGCCCATGTCCTCATCATAAGGGATCGCCCAGCCTCCCACGTTGAGGCCTGTTAATACAGCAAAGTTGAATGGGGTCATAGTCATATCCCTGGCAGATGAGAAATGAAAGGAGTTGGTGGTGTCCCACCACCTCTCCACAAGAGCGCCCATCAACGTCCTGCTGGCGGGATAGCGAGATATCCCAGTACAGAAAGGCCCGAACCGTGCTTGATTGACCCAATCACGGACGGCCTCTGGGAGCTCTGCATACCACTCCCTCATAGCAATGGAGCCGTATCCCCGTGTAACACAGGAGGACACATGCATTCACAATGAACACATGTCTTCAGTTTCAGAATGAAATGAATAAGCTGCATGCAAATGAAATGTATAAGCTGTGTGCAAATCAAATCAAATACAATGCTGTGAACTGCGTGTTTAGTATGAGCTGTGTGTTCAGATTTTAGAAATAGTGTGTGCTGCGTGCGTGTTCACCATCAAATATGAGCTACATGTTCAGAAATTCAAAGTTTGGGCTGCGTGTTCAACTTTCAACAAATTTGGGCTGTGTGTTCAGATTTCAGAAATAGTGTGTGCTGCGTGTTCACCATCAAATATGAGCTGCGTGTTCAGAAATTCAAAGTTTGGGCTGCGTGTTCAACTTTCAACAAATTTAGGCTGTGTGTTCAGATTTCAGAAATAGTGTGTGTTGCATGTTCACCATCAAATATGAGCTGCGTGTTCAGAAATTCAAAGTTTGGGTTGCGTGTTCAACTTTCAACAAATTTGGGCTGTGTGTTCAGATTTCAAAAATAGTGTGTGCTGCGTGTTCACCATCAAATATGAGCTGCGTGTTCAGAAATTCAAAGTTTGGGCTGCGTGTTCAACTTTTATCAAATATGAGCGGCGTGTTCAGAAATTCGAAGTTTGGGCTGTGTGTTCAACTTTCAACAAATGTGTGCTGCGTGTTCACAAATAAAGTTTGGGCTGTGTGTTCAGATTTCAGAAATAGTGTGTGCTGTGTGTTCACAATCAAGATATGGTCTGCGTGTTCAGAATTGAAATGTGTGCTGCGTGTTCAGAATTGAAATGTGTGCTGCGTGTTCAGATTTCAGAGATAGTGTGTGCTGTGTGTTCACCATCAAATATGAGCTGCGTGTTTAGAAATTCAAGTGATTGAGCTGTGTGTTCAAGATACAAACAGAATACTGTGTTATAGACTAAGCATTCAGAACAAGCTGTGTACTAGAATGAGCAGAAGTATGGCATGCGAATGTGTTCAGAGCGAGCAAATAAGCATGCGTAGCATAAAATGCATGGAAGATGCAGAATTAAGGCAAGAAATGTAAAAAGGTGAAGTACATACCTCCCGTGCCTGATAGGAGAGATGGGACTCTGGCTCCCGCAATAGCAAATCCACAGAGGCTCGATTGTCGAAGTTCGTAAAATGATAGAAAACTGCCCGCAGGAGGATGTGTGTCGAGGGTTCGTACCTCTCGGGAATAAAGGGGCGAATCCTCGGCGGCAGAGACATGACATCTGGATCACCTCCGGCACCTGGAGAACCTCCGTCATGGGGAAAATGACCCACCATTTCAAGATATCTGCAAAAAGGAGCAAAAATGAGCAAAATGAGCCAAAATTGGAAAAAGTCAACAAAAGTCAACTCTCGGGAAATGAAAAAGTCAACAAAAGTCAACTCCCGAGAAAATCTTCCAAATGTTGAGACCAACTTACCTCAAGTGGTGAAAATGAGAAGAGAAGCTTCGAAATCAAAATTTAATTGGTTCAAAGTGAAGAGAACTGAAAGTTTTCGCGAAACAACTTGGCGTGGGGCGTTGGAAAACGCGTATAGAGCGCAGATCTGAGAAAGAGAATGGTCTAGGAAGGAGGAGGAGGTGTTTTCGGATCTGAAGTTGTGAGCAAGAAGTGTTTGGCTTTGTATATTTAAAGAAATGAGTGTGAAAAGTCAAAATTGCCCCGGATTTGGGCTAGGTGGTCGGCCGGCCACCTTTTCTGGTAGGCCGACCACCCCCTGCAATCAAACCTAGTCGATGGCCTCTAATAGCCACCAAACCTGGTCGGTGGTCTTCCCAAGGTGGTCTCCAAGGTCTCTGCAAATTTTGGTGGTGATCGGAGTCCCCGACACCCGAGAAAGTACAAGAAAAATGCACTTTTTGTCGATAAATCCCTCCGCAGGAACTTCAACTCCAACTTTCGATGCGTGTTTCATCGTCACTCGTCAAGAGCAAAATGTATTCTTTTGAGCACGTTGTGACCCTTCCGAGAGGTAAACCGGAGGTTGCGATTGAGTCGCACTTGTCAAAACTTGCATTTCTTTGCTCGTTATTTCGTGTCAAACATGCATTCGAGTTTGCACTTATCCTGCGTTGTTATGCACGTCACTTACATTCTCATGCATACCACTTGCATTGTTGTGCACGTTTCATGGGTGTTGTCATACCCTCATGCTTAGCTTGCATTGACACGCGCGCATCTCTCGCATTGCGATGCACTCTCCCATCGGCACCCTGTTTGTCTATGTTCGATATAGCATTGAACATGTGTTGCTAACTATGTTGTGCTTGTTAACTTTCTCTCTTTTGCAGGCACGATATTGTATGTATGGTTCATTTGAAGCTGGTGCAACCAGACGAATCGAGCAGGTATTGTAACTTCTCCGTGTGAGACGTGGCGAGAATTGAATAATTCTCCGCATCCTTAAACTGCATGAAATGTAGTTGTTGCTTTGCATTCTTGCTTAAAACTGTTGCTTGTGCGCTTCATTACAGCTTGCTGCTTTGCATGATCATGAGTTACGTCCGGCTTTGTGCATATCATTTTGCATCTTGCCCCCTGCCTGCGGGCATGCCTGCTGGAACATCTTCGTTGTCTTACCTGTTTGTCTAAGTCTTCGGCCTTGTCAAAAATGGGTCGTCTCTGGACTTTGACATTCACTCCCGTCAATTACGACTTTCGAGTTCTGTCAAAGAGGGGCAACTGTAGACACCTCATTTTTGACCGACCTTAAGACTCAGACGTCACTGATTGAGCACTCAGTGATGTTGCATATTGTGCTCGTTCTGAGGTTACGGAGTCTCGGCTGCGAGCCTTGCCTCCGGACTTCGGGGATCTTTTGTGCTTTGCCTCGGTTTGCGAACCGGGTCTTGTTTTCTCTGTTTTCTCTATTTTCTCTTCCTAAAGGGAGGGAGAGGTCTCGTAGACCATCTCTCAGTGCCCGTAGGCTACGTTTCGTGCTTGCAGGCCATTTTTCCCGTTTGGAGCCTAGTTTTCGATTTTCGAAGCCGTCGGCCGTGTGCCTCGGTTCGGGACCGTTTAACTACTTCCGTTTGCTCCGGTTTTTGGCAGACCCCTTATTTTCTCCCTTTAGAGGGACAGTGTGGCCCGGGAGACCACCTTCGTGGTCATACGCCACTTTCGGTACCTAACAGCCTGTTTTTGGGGCCCCGGACTGCGCATTTTGGCCCCCGAACCTTTGTTTTACATCCGTCTTGGCCTATTTTTGGTAGGGACCCTATTTTCATTGTTAGGGAGGTGGTAGTATGGTGGGAGGCCACCTTTTTCCCTGAAAAACTAGTTTTCTCTTTTTCTCTCTCCAAAAGTCGGTTTTTCTGACAGAAAGCTGGTTTTTCTCACTTTTGAGCCACAATTTCTGGCTTTTCATACCACCATTATGCTGTGCTCATCTGGAAGGCCACCAATATGGGTAGGCTGACCAATAATTCTTCTTGACCCTTTTAAACCTTGCTAAAAAGTTGGTTTTTTTCCTCTCTCTTGGGTCACATTTTCTGATTTTCCACCATATAGTTGTGTTGCACTCATCTGGGAGGCCACCTTTTTGGGGTGGCCGGCCAGAAATTCTTCTTGAACCTTTTGACCCCTGGTTGGCCGACTAGGGGGAGTAGCCGACCGACCACTTGAACTAGCCGGCCTACTTCTTGCTTTTTGCCCTCTCTGAATGCATCACAGCTATGCCAACTGTGAGACAATTGGACCATCCTCCATACACGTGTATGGAGGATATGTGAAGCCCTTTTGGGATATTTTAGAGCCTGTCCTCTATAAAGGGGAGGCTGATCTTCTATGGCAAGGGTTGAACAACTTTTGAAGGCTTACAACTCTAACTCTCTCTCTCTCTATATCTCTACACTTGAGCCTCCGAACCCTAGTTTTCTTAGACCATTTGCACTACAATCCTTAGCCCTACACCTCCTCCATCCATCCCAGCACTTTGGGACTGATTTGCAAGGGTTGAAGGTTCACCAACTTGGTCCAAAAGCTCCAGCTTTGCTGCTCTTCAAGGGTAAGCACCTATTTCCCTTAAACTTGCATTTTTTTGCTCCATTAATTAGCCTTACTTTCAAGCATTTTTGGACTTTCTCATAAACTAAAAAGTGTCATTTTTAAGCTCCTCTTGAATATTGATTAAGGACACTTTTCTCTTTGAGGTCTCCTACACCCTTGTATGCTTTGTCCCTCTTTGTAGGCTTATTTTGCATCATATCTTAGCCCTACT